TGGCGATAGACTAAGGGAGGTCAACATCAAAAGAGGAATCTTTCAAGGAGACTCACTATCACCACTACTGATTGTCATTGCATTGATTCCTCTGTCAACAATACTGAACAAGTCAGGCCATGGCTATCAAACATCAAAAATATCTGCCACCTCCTTTCCATGGACGATCTGAAGCTGTATGGAAAAACACCATCTGAAATAGAATTGCTGCTCAACACTGTCTGATCATACAGCAAGATATGGCAATGGAGTTTGGACTGGACAAATGTGCCACCCTTACCATTAAACAGGGGGAAAATAATGACAACAGAAAGAATCAAGATGCCCTATGGAATAACATCAAGAGTCTGGATGAAGAGGATCACTACAAATACCTGGGTATCCTTCAAGCTGATAACATCAAGCACACTGAAATTAAGAAGGAGGTTAGGAGTGAATACATCATGAAAGTGAAGAAGATCTTAAAGTCAAAACTCAGTGGAGGAAATACCATTAAGGCAATTAACCCCTAAGCAATTGCAGTCATTAGATACACAGCGAATAGTGGACTGGACTCAAGCAGAAGTAGAAGCCCTGGATAGGAAGACCATAAAAATAATGACAATGAATCATGCTCTTCATCCAGGCAACGATGTTGACAGACTCTACTTGCCAGGGAGCATTGGTGCAATATCTGGAGATAGCAGAAGAGAAGAGAAAGATCTGGAGAAAATCACAAAATATAAAGACCTGCAAACAGAAATAGATTGACTGTGGCAAAAGAAAGCAAAGTTAATACCAACAGTAATAGGCACCTTGGGTGCAATCCCAAACCATCTGGAGCACCCCTTGAAGACCATCAGCATTGACAAAATCACCACCAGTCAATTGCAAAGGCAGCTTGACTTGGAACAGCTTCCATCCTGCAACAATACCTTTAACGCCATCAAACAACAAGATCTGCCTATCCCAGGTCCTTGGGAAGGACTCGATGGGTGGATAAAAATGCCAGATCCAGTTTCAACAACTGACTGGGCAACCAACCCTAATAATAATAACAACGACCAAGAAGTGTTTAGTTTGTTTCAGCAAAATGAAACAGACTCATGAAGACAGAAAGGGGCTATTTACGAAAAACAAAAATATGTTTTGCACAACATTGTTTCTTTTTTCTAGCTTCTTTTAAAAATATTGTTTTATTATAAAGCATGAGTAGTACATTCTATTGCACAATGTCATTTCTATGCTGCAAACCCCCTGTAGTGTTCTTACGCAGCTAGGGACTTAAATGTTGCATTTAGAAACTTTGGGAGGGGGCATTTCAACTGAAGAGAGGATGGCCATGGCAAGGCCTTCTGCAAATGTGATCCTGCCACCCCTTGGACTTCCAGGGGTAAATAGGAAGAAGGAAAGTACCAGTGTTAGACGACAGTTGATCCTTATTGAAATGGATTGAAAGAGCAAGACAATAAGGACCCATCCCATCCTGTGAGTTGAGTTAACCAGGTTCGGAAATGAATTGGAATATACTTTTTCGGGGGGAAAAGGCTCTCTTGCAGGACGCTTGGGGGATTGAGAGCACAAAAGGGAGACAACCGTTTAGCTTGGCTGCTTCCTTCGGCTAACGCGATCCCTCTTTTCCCCCACTCGCCCCCACCCCCCGCTCTGCAAACGCGTTCGGACCACGACTCTCACCCTTCTCCAGCAGGATGGGCACAGGGCTCCTGTAGTCCATCAGAGGGCGCGGGGTTAGGAAAGCCTGGCTGAGGTTTATG